TCCAGTGCACAGCTGGGTGCTCTGTACCCCTCCAGCTGTGCTGGCAGTTGGTGAACAGGGCAGGATGGTTCACAGGGACTCAACTTCATGTTCATCTTGAGCTTAAGGCAGCAGAGCCCTGGGGGACTCTTGTAAGCACTGCCAAAGCAGGGGAGCAGCACCTCAGGCTTTAGGTTAGCACTCATTTTCTGCACTGTTTTCTTTGAAGAAGCATGTCTGCGGCATGAGTAGAATTATTATTAGGCCATAACACATGGGATGTTGCTTTCTTCTCTCCAAGAAGATTTAGAGTACAATTTATTTTTCTAGGCCGTTAGCTGAGCTCAGTAACAAAGTTTTCCCAACCTGCGCCCTTGGGCTGGCACCGGGTGGCTCTGTCAGCATTGCTGCAGGAAACAACTCATCTGACCTCTGCTGGCAGCCCAGGAATTATCCCTGTGACCCAGCATTGCCTCTGCAGCCTCACCTTCCAAAATGCAGGCGCACAATAGCCCATGCTGTGTCCCTGGCTCCTTGCAGCTTTGATGGCAGGGAGTCCCACCACCCTGACCCAGCCCTGCTCCCAGCTGGCCCTTGCAATGCTATTTCCAATGAACTAATTACGTGTGTCACTCATTAAGTGAGCTTTTGACTGAGGAAAGCAATTTGATGACCAGAGGGGTGATAAAGAACACCAGGCAGAGCACCTCATATGAAAGCCCAGCAATCCCCACCTTCATCTGGAGAGAAAGGAGACTCACAAAGGCTGAGCTCCACAAGAGCTGTGCCTACCCCGTGGCTTGCTGTGACTGGGAGCACAATTTATTTAAAAACTTTGTAAACTCTCCTGCCTAATATAAAACCCAAAATGGAAGGTTTGTGCTAGTATTTTGCCATGGAAATAAATGTTTGTGTTACCTGATAGTAATTCATCTTACCAGAATGCAGAAGCTTGGTGGCATTTGTGCAGGGATTTATTTGCATTTACAATTGTACAGCATCTAATGGGTACTGGAAAGCCTTACTCAGCTCTGCAGTGCTATTAAATTTCAGCATGTGGCTTTGCCACAGCAAAACCTGCTGCTACTATTATGTCGTTGGTCTCTGGTGTTGAAGACAAATTTGTGGAGTAAATTCAAATTGGGAAGCTCTGAGTTGAGACCCCTGGAGGCAGTGACATCTGCCTGCCTGTCTTTGATAAGAATTTCTGAGAGTGAGAGTAAAGTACTTAGAGTGAAATTAAAAGCTTTGATCTGGTTTTTTGTTTCATCATTATTTCATGTTTGAGTCCTTTATATATGTCTTTCAGTTCTTCATTTGGCTGCGATTTTTAGTCAATACTCCAGCACAGGGCAGACACCTGGCAGCCACCCAGCAGGTCACTGGCACTGCCAGGACTCACACCCTGGCTCCAGCCTGAGCCCACTTAAATGAAACAGGTGATAGACACACCAGAGAAACATTACTTCAAAGAAAGTGACCCTCTGGCCCCAGCACACTGGGCAGCCCTGTTTGAGGCAGCACTGTGGCACCCCAAACACCCAGGGCACACAGCAGAGCTGATGATGGAATCCCAGAATCATTTCGATTGGAAAATACCTTTAAGGTTGAGTCCAATGACTAACTTAGAAATGCCAAGTCCACGAGTGCCCCATTTACAAGTCTTTTAAATATTTTCAGAGATGGTGTCCCTGGTTTCCTGGGAGCAAAGCCTGACCTCCACCCAGCTGCACTCTTCTGTCTGGGAATTCTAGAGAGCAAGAAGGTTCACCCTGAGCTGCGTTTTTTTCTAGGCTGAGCCCCCACTGTGTTCCAGACCCTTCTCTAGCACCGATTCCTTCTCTGGACATGCTCCAGCCCTTCAGTGTCTCTCTTGTCACGAGGGGCTCAGAACTGGACACTGCACTCATGTGTGGCCCCAACAGTGCCCAGCACAAGGGACATTCACTGCTCTGGTCCTACTGGACACATTATTCCTGATCCAGGCCAGGTGTCCTTGGCTTCTTGCCCACCTGGGTGCACCTGGGCTCATGTTCAGATGTTGCCAACCAGCAGCTTCACAGCCACTCTGTGCCAAGACTGTTTCACCAGATGGCTGATGTTAAATCAAATCTCAGCCCGATGAATTTGCACAGCCTTCACTTAACTAGTCGTGTCTGTCTCTTCCATACTACACTGGCTGGATGAGGCTCCTGGAGCCCTCAGTAGAGGGAGAAGGGAAGGGCAGCTGGGTCAGAAGCAACCAGCACAGGAGACTCTGGGGCAAATGGGAGGATTAATATTGTGTGAAAAGTCCTTGAATTCAGCCATTTCCATCAGCTTAAGACCTCCCAGAGCTCAGCAAGGTCAAACGCATGAGTCCCCAGACGAAGTGTCACCCATCTATGTGGGTGGGATTCGGTTTATTTTTTTTGTTTATTTTTTTCAGTTGTGATGTAATGGAGGAAGGTAAGAAGAATGAAACACATAGTCAGTGGCTCAGCACATTTTTTTTACGATGGAGTTTCAAATCACTAGAAAATTCCTTAGTTATGCAGGTGCACTTTAAAGCATAAAATAGTATCTACACCAGAATTTAATTTTTCTCAATTCACTGCTTTGTGAATTTATTTCTAATGTCACCCCTTCTTAATTCTCCTTGGAGTTTTAGCTAAGACAATATTTCCATGGCCAAGCAAAGCAGGAGTGGCCCCAAGATGCAGATGAAGACAGTTGGGAAGGTCTCATGTGAAGGGATGCAAAAGCCTGTCAGGGTGAAGGATACATCATTTCTCTTTCAGTAGCTACAGCTTAAACCACAGCCCTGGGTTTTCAACAACATGGAGCACATTGGCAGCGGGACCCTCATGCTGGGGAGAGATTGCAAAAATCTCACAGCTCCTTTGGTACGTTAGAGGTTGCCATGCTTGGCTGCAGAGGGAGGAATGCTTGTTGCAGGCACTTGTCACTCCAGTCGTGGAGTTTTGCTCACCTGTGTCCAGGGACAGAAAGTCACTTCCTAAGCCTGTGTCTCTTGTTCTCCCTGCTGCTGCTGCAGCAAAGTATCCCAGTTTGGAAAATGAGAGGGGGAAAGGGAATGTAGTATTTCAAGAGATATCGGACCCACTCATTAAATCATTATTTAAATCCTTCTCCAGTGGAAAATAATGAACCTGGTTCAGGTTCATAATGAACCGATTTTCAGGCCTTGGCCATGGTTCTAGCTTGGGACCCTGTGCTTTGCTTAGATTTCCCTTCTGTCTCTCTGAGAGGGAGGTAAGTGAAGCATGTGGAGCTCCAGAGCTCAAGGAGTGAGCCAGAGCAGCCTCTCACTGAGCTGCCATCGCAGCAGGGCTCTTGCTTAGCAGGGTAACCACAAGCACAGTGGGGACAGGGCACACACCAGCAGCGAAATGGTGCTGCTCCCATGGGGAGCCAGCACAGCACCAGTGCTGGGATAATCAGAGGTTCCACCTCGGCTGCTGGAAGAATGTCATCTGCAACGGGACTGCCAGTCAGCTGTGTTTCAAGCACGAATATTGAGGGGGAAGGTGATTCATTGCAGCACTTTAAGCCCAAAGATGAAATGCGAAAATGAATTAAAATTTCTGTGGTATCGGTTCAATCAACGGTTGGAGTGCAGTATTTCTGCTGCATTTAAACTGCAAAGAATCATCTGCAATTTTCCAGCACAAATGCAATCAAGAACTTCAAAGGGCAGTGGGCTTTTGTTTTTGTTTTGGGGTTTTTTGGGTTTTTTTGTTTTTCCTTCTCCCTGGCTAAAATGTATTATAGCAAGCTTGTGTACACTTCATAGTATTTTTTCTTGCCATGACAATTTAGTTTTTATTCACTTTTTAAAGAGAGGGAAAAATCCCAACTCTTCTTTTAATGATCTTCACCATGGTGAACTTAAAAGTGGCTTACAGCAGGGTAGTCTGGCATTTTCTGTTTGCATCAGTCAGTCGCTAGTGATTGATCTCAGAAGTCAGGCTTCATTTTCTAAGCAAAATGCAGTTGGAAAAACCTGATTAAAGTGAGTAGAGTTTTATCTGATGTGGCTATTGCCACTCATTTCAGCATAATGACTTTATTTCCAACTACAGATGACATGCAGAACACAGAACAAAAGGTACGTATCAGTTTATACTGCATTCTTCTTAAAATTTAAGTGATCCTAACAGGCCATCAAACTACCAGAAAACTGCTTGGCATGTGGAATAAACTCCTGACAGAGCTGCTGTAACTGGTGTTGCCATCCTTACACAGAAGTCTGCCATGAGAGAAGCTGCTTGCTGGGCTGACATTATTGTGAAATAATCTTGCAATATCTTGCAAAAATTGCTGCTGTGATTGTAAACTAAATACTAAAAAAAAAAATTGAATGGTCTTGACTTTGCTTCCTGACTTCTGAGCGTTTAGGTCCTAGTGGCTTCTCCCTCTAAAAAGTATGAAACCTTGAAACGCCTGAGATCCTGACACAAAAATTGCTCATTCTGGCATTGCTCTGGCATTCCCAACAGAGAGAAGTGTTCCTTTTCCTCTCATTTCTGAGAGACAAGGGACAGTGAGGAGGAAGAGTAGGTGAAATTACATTTGAAGAGGTGCAAACACAAAAGTGACAGGCTTGGAGACAACATGCTTCGTTCAAATGGATATTTGCAGAGCAGATCCTCTGCAAGATAACTTATGGCATGTGAAAAAGTCCTGTGCACAGAAAACAGTTTGTCATGGTAAAATAAAGAGCCCTGGAAGCTATGAAGTCTGGCATAGCTGTAAAATTAACTTTCACTTGGGAGGGGAAGCTGGGAACCCTGCAGCTCCTGATTCTTTTCAAAGACAATGCCCGTACCCCAGCAAGGAACACGGAGGCTACCGTGACTCCTTCGAACCTCCACCAAAACCTCAATTTAAAATACTATCAAAGATTAAAGGCTGCACTCCCTTGCAGCTGCATTAATTATTAAGGCAGCATGCAGAGCTCTGTAAATGGCTCCTGTCTGTTAGTACAGCACTGAGTTTAAAGGTTAGGGTGGTGGCAGGCAGATGATGATGATGATGATGATGATGATGATGATGATGACGACGACAACTTATGATTTGGAGAGTTTTCTGGCATGGGGGAGAGGTGTCTTCTAATACTGGAAGGTATGTTAGGAAAAGTCAGCCTGCCTTCCATGTAGCAGGGGCTGGGAGGGAGGAGGGGGCAGCTGAGCTGTAGGGGAAGCAGGACTGCAGTGCTGAGCTCCCTTGCCTATTGCAGCCTGAAATCAAACAGTAATGCTTCCAGGAGGTAAAGACAAGGCAACACACTCCTAGACAAAAAAATACCCTTTCCCCTACCCCTGACAAGAAAACCCCAACCCTCTTTCTGCTCTGCATAAGCACTAGCCACTGTGGCAGGCTTTATGCAGCTGTGACAATGTTTTGCTTTAATTTGATTAATTTTATTGGGAAGAAGTTCCATCCCTTCCACCGGCCAGAAACCAGCCAGCCCCCATGAGGGCCCTCTCTCCCTGTTTCTTTACTACAGTTATAAAGTTATTTATAAATTACTTTACAAAATAGAGTCACCACACATTTGACAAGCACCTGAGAGTGCAGTATGAAAGCAAAGCCCAGGGGTCTGACGGATTGGCAATTATTCCAGGAGGTGGGAAGCTAAGCAAGGGACTGAACCTGATAGAAAGCAAGGAGAAAGCATTGGACTCATTCTTGCAGCGCTTAAGTTTGAAAACTGAACAGAGTGGCAGAGAAATCAGCACCAGCCACTTCCCCCCTCCCAGAGAGAGCCTGGCCAGGGAGGGGGTCCCTCAGCAGGGAGAGGGCAGACCATGCTGTGACCCTCGGCAGCAGAGACCACCACAACAATGCCAGGAAATTGTCAGTCAAGTTTAATGCATCATAAAGAAGTAAAACTACATCGGCATATTTAAGACAAACACTTTTTTTTTTCCTATGCACACTATCCACTGGACAGCCCCCTTTTCAAAATAACTACTTTTAACAGTTGAAGACAGTTTTTCAGAAATTCTCCACATATTCAACCTTCCACACTTTTCCTTTTTTTTTTTTAATTTGTCTGAGAAGGAAAAAAAAAAATCATGAAACCTGAAAACATCTACATTGCAAGCCACTCAGAATGCATAATTGCATACATTAACCAATGTATAACAACTGTGTTTTACTTAGTTCACTTTGTTCATTAATAAAAGAATATAAAAATCTTGTTCAATCGAGTGTTGTGTATTAAAATAGATTTGTATAGTACTGCACAGTTTCTCCCGGAGTTGTGAAAATGGTTGAAGGGACTATTGTTGCCTAGTGATGGGCAGCAGAAAAAGCCAGTCCCTTATATGTTTATTTTTTTTAAATTAAAAACAAAAAAGGCTATCTGGCACCATGTGATATGCTGATGTGAGAGACTAGCCTTGTGTCCTGCTCTGGTGGCTTTCCATAAGTACCTGTTGTGCTAATTGATGGAGAACTCATAAGGACAGGGACAATGGCACTGGGGAGTGTGAGTTAAGAAATCCTTGGTGTCCATCACCACCTTCCCAGGCACTGCAGGAGACCAGGCAGGACCTTGCAGAATCAGGAAGACCAGCTAGTAAAACAAGCAAGTGCACTGGGATTTTCTCAGGCTAATGCTAAACGCTTCCCAAATATGCTAAAATCCAACAAAATATTAAAAAGGAATCAAGTTTCCAAAAACAAAATCCTCCCAAACCCTTTTAATTTTCCATGCCCTGGCCCTCCCCCAGAAGTCTTGAGTTTGAGTCTCCAGTTCGAGAAACAACCCCTTGAGGCAGTTTTTTTCCTGTACCATTTCAGCAGATATTTCTACAAAAAAAAACCCCAAACAAACAAAAAACCCCAAACAAACAAAAAAAATCCAAACAAAACAAAACAAACTTCAAAAATATAATGTTACATATCTTTAACAATAAAAATGCAGTACAAAAATGTTAAGTTTCTTTTTGGCATATTATCTGTACTGACAAGAAACAAAAACCAGAATATTTATTTGCTTTTTTTTTTTTAAAAAAGAATGCAAAATTAACAAAAAGACAGAAAACCAAAAAATAATCTCTTTAAAAAATGAAACCCAAACAGTCAAATATATCCGCTGTTATGGTTAATGCTAAACCTTGCACAAAAACTCCATGAGAAAAATACACTGATAGCAAAATAAGTAAAAAGGACCTGCAAAAGGAGTTTTACAGTCGTATTTTTAAAATATTTTGGAACGCATATACAGAAGCATCAGCATGAAAATACTTCAATATTTTACTAGAAATGCTAACTTCATACAGTTTCTTTATTTAAATATTTGCAATTCTCAAGTCTAATAATATGGAAAAAAAATCTTTTGTTTCCAAGGCTCTGTGAGTGTCCGTGATGCTGTTCTGGTCACAACGACCCCATCTCCAGGTCACCTGAATCAATGGGGCCAAACTTGTTCCTCTGAAAACAATCCATGTCAAGTGCTAAGTAGCTCAGTTTCTGGTTATCTCACCAATTCCCCCCCACACACATAGCTTTCAGCCCAACTACTTCTCTAATACCTCACTAACTCCTCTCCCCTTAGAACAGCAAGCCTGTCTGCCACCACAAAAGGCTATCCTGTTTCCTATCAGCCATGCTTTTCCTGTTCATCCTCAGTCATAAATACATTAAGGCCAACATAACAAAACAAAATGTCATAAGCACTGAAGGTCTTGGCAAATACGAAACTGCAGCACAACCCGCTCTGTGGGAACCTGCTGCCACAGTGACCTACAAACTGGGCTGACTGGTCTGCAAGTCTCTAAGTGTATCAAAACTGAGATTGCTCCTTCTGCCATTTGTTCCAGTTTCATCTCTCCTCTGCTCACGTGCACAAAGTTTCTCGTTGCCTCTTCCTTAGACCTGGCGCGGCCGACTCCTGTCAGTTGTTACCCTGGGATGGCTGCAAGGCTTTGTGCATGGCAGCAGAGGCAGCAGAGGGTTTGATCCAGGGGATGGATAGCAGGGAGGTGGTGGTGGTGGTTGTCATGGTAACCTGAATCATCTGCTCATTTTGTATCAGTCTAATGAGGGTTTTGAGACGTTCCAGTGATGACTGAGTCCCTTTCTGCTGGGCCATCAGGCTGGTTTTTAGCTCTAAGCATTTCTGTCAAATAAAGAGGAGGGGAGAGAGAAGGAAAGACTGAGAATACATTCAAAGTGGTGTCAAACATCTCTCCAAACATCCTTTGGTGCCTTGGGTGCACATTCTGCTCAAATGAAGTATGTTCTCCTTTGGGGAAAGCAAAACCACAGCTTAACAAATGGAGTAATCAGCAGTGCTGCACACATTGCAGCAGCTGTCTGAGGGAACAATATTCTTCCCTGGCAAAATGCATTTGGAGGATGTTTCTGACTCCATCCTGTAGACAGCCTGGCAGGAACACCTTCTGCATTCCACAGGGATGCCTGGCAGGGGAGTGCAATAGCTTGTTATTGAAAACACAGAAGGCACCACTCAAGTCTCACTCTTACCAAAGGACCCCGATAAGTGCTTGGTGGGTGAACCTCACCAGGATGCATCTCATATGTGCCACACATTTCAGGGAATAGGCATTGTGAAGATGCATTAATCTCGCTGAACATGGTATCAACATTTTTTTGGCAGAAAACTTTGCTCCAAGACACTACTGTTACACCAGAGCACTCACAAGAAAGCTTTCATCCCTCAGGGTGACCAAACTCATCATTTGAAATAAAAACCTCAATGCAAATGGACACGAGAGCAGGAGCTCTCCATTTCTCCAAGACAAGATGGGAAGGATCAGTAATTCTTCTTTCCCTTCCCAGCCATGGACTGCTGCATCCAGCACCCCATTCTTCTGCGAGGGACAGACCCACACCCTGAGTCTGCAGGGTGAAAGGGGACAGTGGCCTCTAATACCTGAAACCTGTTTTCTTCCTCCCAGTATGCCCAGGATCTGACCAAACCAATTACTTGTCTGCAGATTGCTCCTCTCTGGCTATGGTACAGACTGCCCAGGGGGGATTCTCCAGTCCTGGAGAATTGGGAAATGCTCACTTGAAAATCAGCTCGTTTGGAAAGCAACTGTGTGGAGCTGCTCAGAGGTCGATTTAGAGAGATGAAATTTCAGATGAAAGATAAATAATTGTAGATTATTATCTGTTTTTACCATTGCAGCTGTGGGGTGTATGAGAATGTTCTTTTTCATATGAATCTCTGTTAAAATGTCAGAATGAAATTGCTCTGTGCTGGGACACCTTTAATTTATTTTCTCCTTTCAAGTGGATCCCTTTCCAATAAATATAATCACTGGCTGATATTACCATTTAAATAAGTGTTGCCCACTGAAAGAACCTGATTCTGCTTAGGCAGAAATCTTACTGGTTTTGACAGCCATGATACACACCTGATAGCTGACAACTTTTCTTTCCAAATTCCTCAGCCCACTCTCCTGCCTACTACATGCATGTGTGGTTTCATTAGTGCTATGCACATGGTCAGGGAATATATAGTGATGTCTTTGAATAAGTTATTGTTTTTCCTTCCACTCTGTTTTACGTGATAAATATTTTAACATGCCTTCTCTGGATAACTGGAATGGTAAAACAAGCAGTGACCAGTTACTCCTGCAGCTGCCACTTTGATTTTTCTTTCAAGGTAAGGAAGTGTCAAATATTTATTGAGGCTGCCATGCAAACTAACAGCTACCTCTCAGGAGGGAGGTAGCTCCAGATAGTTCCTTCAGCTATGAAGGGTAGAAATTAAGCTTTGAATTCAGCCCATTCAGTCAGAGACTGCTCCTCATAGCACAACATGTATGGAAGATACCTCCAGATGACATTGAGCTTTGAAATTAGTTTGGAGAGACAAAATAGTCCATGTCCAGTCATGGAGAGATGCTACAACATTCAGTAAAGATGGTTATTTCTACTTAATATCAAGAGGTTTGAGCTAATGGACAAGCAGCTACCACTGGAGGACATGCTTGTGACTGAACTTCTCACCTAGAGGATGGAAGCGCCTTGAAGTCGTTGAGTAGCTCAGAGCTATGGATGCAACTACAAGGAAGGCAGCCATGGCTATTTGTGGAGTTCTGTTTGTGGTGTTTTGCCAAAGGAATTCAAGTGATTTCTCCTCCTCAGCCTGCCAGAGTGGCTTGCTTTTGTGCATAAAGAAAATGCACATGCACTTCCTCAGAGAGAAACACATTCACACTTGAAAATCTATTGCTTGGGAGCTTGAATCATTTTCTAGCCACGAAGTACCATTTTTCTGGGCTTAAATTCTTTATAAACATCTCTTCAGGAGACTCAGTGTCCCCATCAGGTGTCCTACCTTCACTGCACTGTTGAGAAGTCGATCTTTTTCTTCTAACTGTCTATGCTCACTCTTCAACTCACTGCTTCTCTTTAATAACTTTCGCTTCTCTTCTTCTTTGACTGTGGAACAATAAGATTAAGGATGCAGAGGTTAAGGAAAGGATATACTGTGTGCTTGAGGTCAGAAAGCAGAACCAGGTATTTTGCATAGTGAGTTTAAGGTCTCATTAGCCTTTTGTACCAGCAGATACAGCCAAAGAAATCTGGAGTTTCTGCTTGCAGGCATTTCTTCACTAAAAAGGTGGTTGGTCATTGGAAGGGGCTGCCTAGAGAGGGGGTGGAGTCCTCATCCCTGGAGGATGGAACAACTGGACATGGCACTCAATGCTCTGGGCTGGTTGACAAGGTGGGATCAATTACAGGTTGTACTCAAATAACTTGGAGGTCTTTTCCAACCTAAATGGTTCTGGGATTCTATGCATCTGCCTATGTTCATGGTTAGCACACAGGAGGACAACCCAAAAGGTACAGTGCACCTTTAAGGTGAATTAAAATTCATCCTTAGACCACATGTGATCCTGGAGGTCTCTAAGAAAGAGGTGAATGGTATTCAGGAAGAGGCCAACCCCTTGGAATGACCCTGGCAGAAAAGCACAATTATGACTGTGCCAGACCTCAATAAAGGTCCTTACAAATATGATCTAATGCCCAAAAGAGCCTATTGTAACAGTGCAACAGGGAATTAAAAAAGAATAATGCTCAATGCACAGCTGTCACACAGCATGGGACTCAAGTGGCTGCCATACTACATAACACTGAAACAATTAGGAGCTGGTATTGCTGTGGTGTCTGAGACACTAGTCTGGCACTGTGCTACACACTGAGTGACATGGCTCTGCTTATCTTGTCTCTGCCTCACAATGATTCTGCCTCAAAATCCTGTTTCCAGCACTGTTCCAGGGAAAGCACCACTTTGATGACAGCCTCCTCCAGAGAGTGAAGTTCCTGAGAGATCACTCTCAACTTCCTTACAGAGAGATGGCAAAGGAGTAGACCAAGGGGAAGGGGAAAGAAAAAGTCTGCTCTGCCCAGTCATTTATGGCCCTATGACCTACACCATCAGCATTGTAACATTACTTCAATATTTCAGCTAAGGACTCAAATGGCACTGCCTACCATGAGCAGGGAAGCCCTTGTCAGTGGCTGAGTCAATCCCTACCTGTTTTATGAGTAACATAGGAGTGAACAATAGCCAGAGTTCCAGTCCATGGCACATTGTCATCTTTCTTTAACACCTATAAGCCCGGGAAACAATAAATGGTTAGGATTCCAAAAAACATCACATTAATATTTGCTCCAGCCTTGCAGTTTGGCAGGACCAGAACTTGGGTCCTTGTCTCACAACATAAAAGTGATCTTAAGGCTAAGCACAAGGAACTCTATGGCACAGAATCTACACTTTAGTGACACTCAAGTGTTTTAATAATTTTTTTTCTTACTTGTGCAATCAGCATTATTCACATCAACTAGACAGTTTAGCATATGTCACATAACTGTGATAAACAGCTGTGTGTAACAAACGTGATTTAAAGAAAAGGAAGTTTTCTCCTCACATCTTTCAGATCCACCGGTGAACAGTGTCTTCTTCTGACACTGCCTCCCTCATCTCTAAGATTTACATTCTTTGTCTGGCTACATGCTGGTGGTGTTACTGTAAAGAAAGCAGCTGAAGGAACTGAAGAGACATTTTAAGAGGACAATTCTTAGCAATTACAGGCAAGCTACAGCACTCCATGTATGTTCTAAGTCTAGGACAGTGAAAAATACCAGAAATCAATACTGCAAACTGCACTAAAAACCTCTCAGTACTTCTTTATCTAATGTAGTCCACTGAGCTACGACCATAGGTTAGATTTGTTTAGGGGTACACAAATTTGAGGTGTCTCCCATTTTCCCTTCTTGGTACACCATGCTCCATGTAGCTTACCTTCTGTTGGCACTTTGGGCAGACCCAGAGCCCTTTGGGTGCAGTTTTGAGGGGTGGGTCCAAGCAGTTGAGGTGATATGCTCTGGGACATGTGCCACAGGGCTGCAAGTTAACTCCACATTTGCAAGCAGTGCAATGTTCATCGTGATGGATCTCATTCTGCAAGAGAAGGGTGCCCTGGGTAAAGTCAATCCATTGAGAACTTCTCTCTATACAGCATTCAAAGCCTCTACTGCAGCAGACAGGCTCCTTCAAACACGAAATCTAATTGTCAAAAGGACCCTGACAGACACAGAAGACAGAAATAATAGATATATGATAGCAACAAATACAAACAACAAATGAGCCAGAAGCAAGTTCCATAAATTGAACCAGAAACATAAAACCTAACTAATCAAACACAGAAGAGAGTTGGCAAATACCAGATTCTGACATAGGAATTATTTCTCTTTTTCCTTTGCCAGTGTGTTACTACAACACCTGTATCCCCATGCATGGCTCTGTCCTGGATCAGAGTTAATGTGGGGATCACTTGTCCTTCATGCCCAAACAGAAGGAAGCAAGCAAGAAAAGGGTTCTGGGGAAGAAGCACTGTTCCACGTTTCATGCCCATTGCCTCAAAAGGCAGCTGGGGAAACAGAAGGCTGGAGCACAGCCTAGGGCTGTACACCCTCTTTTGTGAACTCCTCTGGCCTCCTTCTCCCTGGCACTAATTGTTCTCTGCTCAGACTTGCTCTGACAACCTTTCTCCAACAAGACTGATTAGGGCTTTGTCTGAAACAACACATAACATGAAGCAAGACTCATCAGCAAAGTTACAATGTCATGTAGTAGATTGCTATGCTAATCTGGTGGCAACATTAATTACTTTTTTTTAATAAAGGAGACACTGATTTTGAAACTCTCATGACTTGTGAATCATTACCAAAAAAATCAAAAATTTCCTATTGGCTTTGCAGGAACTAGAATAGTAATTTCATATTTTTTAATTCCACAAGCATGTTTTCATTTTTAGGAATAGCAATTTAAAAGTTTCATGGCAGTTTTAGGCAGGCTTGAATTCTAAACCAGTCCTGTCAAAAAAATCATTCTCCAAAATATTACTCTTTATAAACTACATGTTCAAAGGATCTTAATTTTAACAGCAATGTAAAGAGATTTAATCTTTACAAACTAGAGTGGTTACTCATTTTTCTTCTAAAATTTTCATTAAACTCATAAATCTGGACTAGCAATTTCTCAGTCAGTGGAATAAACAAAGGGACTAAACATGTCTTGCATGTGAAAGCCCAAGAGTTCATCTCTTTGAAATTCTAGCTTAGGGACTCAAAGATTTACTTAAGTGGGAGAAGAGAATACTGCAATAAGGAAGTGATTTGAGAGTGACTACAATAATCAAAAGCAAGCACTGATACACAGTGATGAGAAAGATACCTGTTAATACACAAACTTTGACACACATACCTTCCAGAATGGATCCTCATTTGCTAGCATGCAAAAGAAGGGCAGAAAATGGATTAGTGGAAAATATATTGCTGCAGAGGTAGCTAGTTCTCAGCTTTGGGAGTAATTTTAGTTAAGATGTGGCATAGGAGATCAGGACATTGTGAAAATTAATGCAGACAAGAAAGAATATAACAGCAAGCAATGGAATTAGCATTTGAGATTTAAAAATGTACATTGCAGGAATCCCATGTCCAAAAGTCTGATGCTAAAATGTCATAGTATTTGAAATTTTCAGAAATTTTCATGCAGAGCTCCTCTCCATGTGCCAGTAATCAAAAAGTCTTCCTCAAGGACCTCAGCATGCTAGGTGTTGAAAATGCTGGCCCTGAACCAGCAATGTACTTAACGTGGAGCATGAAATGGGTGCCTCCAACTAATTGTTAAACACAGATTTAAATGTTGAGCTGATTCCCGGACAAAATGGGCAGCTCCTGTGGGAGTGAGCCTGATGGTATCACCTCCTTCTCATCAAACCAGAATACCAGAGACCTTTGGATGAACTGAGTCGGTAGTGATTGTATTCACAACCTGATATGAACAAGAACCAACAGAGCTCTCCTGAAAGCAAGCCAACCTTCCATAAAAAAATAAATTAAAAATTGTGGAATTCAACACACTTTGGTCCAAAAATAAAACAGAAAAAACCAAGAACTTTATGGAAACTGCACAGCGTGTTGCAATTTTTGCTGCTGATTGCATGGAATCACAGAATCCACCAGGATCACTGAGTCCAGCTCCTGGCCCTGCACAGACACCCCAACAATCCCACCCCGTGCATCCCTGGGAGCGTTGTCCAAACACTCCTGGAGCTCTGGCAGCCTTGGGGCTGTGACCATTCCCTGGGGAGCCTGTTCAGTGCCCCACACCCTCTGGGGGAAAAACCTTTCCCTGATATCCAACCTAATATCCCTGGCACAGCTCCAGCTGTTCACTTGTACTCTTGCAAGGGGCTGGAGCACACTGTCCCAATGAAAAACACTTAATGGACAGGTATTTATTTGGATTAAAGTGGGGACAACCAAACTGGTATTTCTCTCCTGTCCTCCTTCAGGTGCCTCTGATCAGAGTGGGAATACAGCTGTCCCATTGTGATCCCTCATATCACACCCACCTGAAGTCCTCTCCTGCTGGTACAAACTGGTTTTACACACTGATGTACACATGAAGATGTGCACATCAGCAGGCCTCACACACGTGTGGGACTTGGAACTCGAGAATAAAGAAACAGCTTCACCTAACTTGGACCACAGGCTGTAAATGCCCATGTCCTCTGCTACCAGCACACACTGCTGCCACTCCTGCACAGACTTGCAAACCCTGAGTAAATCCAGAAGTATCCTTCTGATGCTGGCAGTTTATGGGCTTCCCTAACCCTGAGCTTGCATTTTCATTGTTATATTTAACAGCCTTTGATCGATTTTTTCTTCCATAAAATTCTCTACTTCTTCCAAGAATTGTAGTATACTTTGGCAATGAGTTCCATAAATAATCACAGACCTATAAAATGTGTAGATGTTACTTCATACCCAAAATTACACACACAAAGATCCACCACTGTATGGCACCATGATTGTCAGGGGATATAAATATTATTCAGATAAACAGAGGCTTGATAATTTATGAATCTTTTGTACAAATGATACATGTCAGGGGATGTGACCTCATTTCAGATAAGATATTTTAATATAAATGAATCCTGATTAATTAACATTTTGATCAAAATTTACAAGAATTGTCCTCTTCTGTATTACCACAAATGACAGTTGTTTCTTGGACATCATGCGTTTTTTTTCTAGTTTGTTTATTTGTCTTTTCAGCTTACTTTTACTACAAAGTTTTAAACTTCTTAAAACATTTCCACTTCCCTCTTCTATTTGCTGGAAAACTAAACTGAGGACAATATTTCTAAAGGAGCACTTTATAAGAGAAGGGGCAGCCATCTCTGCACTGAAGCTGGAGAACTTCATCACTGCAGAGCCAAGCAATCTGGGACAGCATCTGCCTTCTGCTCAACACTTGCAAAACATCCAGCAAAACAGTGCTGGTGCCAAAAAAATCCTTGCAGAGGTGGGGAATTCTGCTATAAAGAAGTCCATCTCAACATTCTCAGAACATGCAGAACTCCAGCACATATTCTGGAAAAACCAAAGATACAGGACTCAGAGGAATTAATGATTAAAGAGAGAGGTTGCTGATTTCCAGGAAGATCCAAGACAGCTGCATCAGTAGAGCTCTGTCATTTGCCTACTTCCTTGCAAATAAAATGAGAAACATGTCATGAAAAGAGGGTCAGAGATATCAAACCCTAACTTAAACCCACCAAGGGGCTGGCAGCACAACTTGCTAACAACGCCATTCTGTCCTGATTTCTCACATGTGTTTAAATGGGAAAAACAAGTGCTATGATAAGAAAAACAATAAATCACAATTTTAATTTTGAAGATAAAACTGAGCCAGGAATAATGTTCTTTCCAGTGGGGATCACATGAGCCTGGCTTCCTGCTAAGAGGCATGCCATCATAACTGTTTACTGTAATAACCTCTCCTGTCCTCTGAGACCAAACACATTACAGGCATATGGTAAGTAGGCCAAGTGTCTGTATCTGGCATGTGAAGTTTTGAAGGCAGAGAGAAGCAGCACTCCCATTCAGTCTGTGCTCCTGTGGTGCAGAAGTCAAGGCAGAGGCAGAAAAGTTAATCTCAAACACTAAACATGATGCTTGACAGGGTAATCAAGCAAACACTGAAAAACTGTCAAAACTTCATGTCTCAATTACAATTATCCCTGCAAATGCTCCTAATACTGAAATAATATTTAACTTACAAGAAGGTGTCTCTTCCTTTACCTCTAATGCATCTCAGTAGAGAATAAGTTGTAAAGGCAAAACAAGGGCAAGGAGAGAATCAAATTTCTTTACTGGCTTTGTCTCCTCTTTTGAAATACAAGTTTCTCACTTTCCTCCTTAGAACACTACATGGGTCTTGTCTGAAGAATTAAACTATACTCAACATTCTCTGTGTTTCACCTCACATGTCCCAATTCCTTGTCTTCTCTGTGTTGCACTTTTTTCCTGAAATATGCTTCTTCCCATGAGCTAATCATCAGTATCCCCAAATGGCTCCTCTGAGTTGTTAATTCTCAAGGCATTTACTATTAAGTTTCAGATTTGAAGTTCTTACAAATACAAGACTGGAAGGCATCTTCAACGTCATCAGGTCTAGATTTATGGTTCTACCTCTTGGAACCAGAAAAACTGGTTTTCAGCCCTTTTTATTGAAGCAAAAGTTGTGGGAAATTTCCTAAAATAGTAATTATTTTTCAACATGTATTTTTAAGTACTTGGGGTTGGCAACACTTTCTTCAATCAGTTCTCTCACTGCATGGTGCTTAAAGTGCCAGAGATCAGATTTTCCACTGATTGCAGAGGCTTTGGATCCATTTTTATATAATTGTGAGCTTTAGCCTTATCCTACCATTGTTTTTGCAGGAAAATCATCTATTTTCATTCCATATTAAAAAGCAGGGATATTACACAATGTAATGCCCTATGGTATTCTAACAGTAACTCATATGAAATCCTACTAACACATTTTTAACATGTCATTAGAATTGTAGTATATTCATTTAAAAATATGCTTACCTCTTGTTGAAAGGAACAAGGGGTTATTCAAATAATTCGATGCAAGGCGTTTCCGCTGTAAGGGAAAAGAAACCAATCCCCATGTCACTGCAAAGTGCTTTGGTTGTCTCCTACATTTCAGATTATCAATCTCCATGGGTTTACCTCATACCTAACCAGCTCTCCAAGAGCTACTTAGACTGGCCACTGACACAATCAGACAAACAGTTGCATGATTTACTTTTCTAATAAGTGTTTCATAGAGCAGTTTACTGTGCACTAGATTTTATTAAGAAGAGAGGAACACAAATTGTAAATGTTATTGATGGGGTTGCAGGATACATTGCATGGGCTGGTAAGAGCAAGACTACAGCAAAACTAACTCCAAGCCCAGCAACATCCCTAAGGGAAAATTGTTGCTGTGAGATGACATCTTTATTTGCATATATAGAAATGGTGATGGATTTCTCACCTGCAGGAAAAGCACTGCTACCTTTGTGACACCTGCCTACAGTTCAGAGGAGCACACTGCATTTGCAAGCAACGAGTGAGGGCCTTAGCGAAATATTTCCTTTTCAGAAGTGAATGTGCAGGACCTTGAAGAGCTGGCAGTGATTCCAATCTGCTGAGATCACCAAACTTACAGAGAGCACCACAAACCTGTCTGAGATGTTTAACTCATCTAAAGCAGCCCATGGTCAGCCTGGTCTGATGGTACAAGCTGTGGTAAATAGCAAGCCAGGCTTCATTAATAGAAGACCCCAAATTGTTCCTCTGTACAATACTTGTACTTCCTCCAATACTTGTACAGCAGGGCTGGAAACAGCACCATTTTCCTCCATTAGATGTTGCTAGATTCTCCTTGGAAGAAAATTAGAGGGATTTTGCTACTAAATTATTTATTCTGTGGTGAACAAACTATTCTCTTATAGATGGGTGCCTGTCAGTCTGTTAATTAATAAATGTTTGAATAGATGTTTCTTTCTTCAGAAAATAACCAGCCTAAAACATAACCCTTTTCAATTAAAAAAAGGCTAATGAGGGTAGGAAAATAAAATAGTATCTGATTTTTTTAAGAACAAAACCTTGAAAAGAAAAAGCACACCATTCAAGTGAAGACATAAGACCATGATCACATTTTTGCTATCAGAGTTAGTATCAGCACTACAAATGCTGCGCTCCTGCCATTTTGAGGGGTGTTGGCAAATAAAAAGTCCAATTTATATGCAATTTCAATTTAAACAATCATGAATTAAAGATCATTCGGCAGACTAAATGAAACTGCACCAAAATGCATGAAATGTCACAAATACCTCAACTCACTGATTAGCAAATCAGTCTGAGCAGCTAATTGATCAGAGAAAAACCATCTGCCTCCATTTTACATGAATGGCATTCCCCATGGTCAGTACTTAATGACAGCTCCTAATGAGGACACAGCTGATCAGCCCCAGGAGTCTTTCACAGACATTTCTTTCTCTGTGCCATCCTTCATTTCAGCATATGCTTTTGAGAATAGATATGATGAGAAGTATGAACTAGGGGTGCAGCAGGCCATCTTCCACCTCTACTCCAAGGTAATAGAGTTTGTCACAAACACCAATCTGGCTACAGCAACAAAACTCTGCTGCAAGTATTTTAATAATCAGGAAAAAAACGTCTAAGGAGCTACAGATTTAAAGCTAGCAAGACTAAAGTTCCTACTGTGTTAAATACTGCACATATGGGCATCAGTATTTGCACTGAAGAAAATAGTTGAGGAATTGTGAAGAACTTAAGTGCCCAGAGCTGCTCTGGAGTATAAAAATCTTCAATGCTTTCAAAAAAAGAACAATCAAGCGACTCAGCAGTTTGACTGCAGCAGTGGGTTTCTTCTTAGCCTCACCTGTTTGCTATCTGCCAACAAAGACAGAAATCTGAAATACTGGCATACCAGAAATTCTGCATCACTTATGCCTAAATAAATAACAATCACTTTCCTTAGTCTTAGAGGACTCAGAACACAGAGAAGTCTTGCTTAAACAAAGAGCTGGCTGCAACTGAGTTTCATTTCAGTTCCATTTCATTTCAGAAAGTTCAGCCAGTCAACCCAAACTGTGCTGAAATTGTAAAGGTGAGTTTTTAATTAGCTGAATAAATGCATATATGTTAGTTTAGAAACAAAGAAAAAAAAATCAGAAGTTAAGCCTATTTATTATGCTGCCTTTACACCAAGTTTGCAATCCAATATTATGCAGGACCAAATTCTGATACTACTGTAAATGCAACAGTGTAAGCATAGCAGACAACAGAGATTATCCAGAGCATTTTATTTTTAATAATTCATTATTATATTTATTATGCAGATTTCTATACCCCTTGCAGACCACACTGATTCTTAAACCAACACACCCCTTTTATGAAGGTCATTAATAAAAAGGGCAAATATCTCCATTTATTATTTGGCACATAAGAGAAATAGCAATGCATATTTGAACATAATGCAGCACTTCTGTTCTTAGATATGATCTAAAGGAACTGCCTTTGTAGATAAAAGAGTAATGAGGTCCCACATTAATTTAGTCCTTTTGGCCTTTATTAAAACTAAGATGAATTTTTGTTAGGACTGAGTGATGTTGTGTGGTGAAAACTTGTTGCTTAGCCACTGAGATATTTTCTGTATTTCTTTTCTACATCAGTATCTCTTTACAAGTATCTGTGGTTCTGCATTCATATATATTTTTGTAGTAAGAAACACTTAAACCTTTTATTGACATGAAATAAAACTCTGGCAAAAAAGTGAATGATAAAGTACCTCTGTTTCCAAGAGTCCACTGTAGGTTGGATTTGCTGTGCTTCTTCTCTTTCTTTCCTGACGCTTGCTCTGGATTTCTGTAACCATGGAAAGGAACATGAACTGTGTATTTCTCATTCATCAGGGAAAAATGTAGATATAACTTGTTAAGCAAGATGATCTTACCCTCAGCCCCTTGAGCTTTGTGCTCTGTTTCAGTTTCTAAAGTATAATTGGTTTGCATCAGCACTGATATTTGCTGCAGTTCAAGGTTTGACATTAATAAGCTTTTCCTTGTGAGATTCACAGGCATTTTTTATTTTTTCCTTCCTTCAAGGTAGACTTCTGCTGCCCTAGAAGAATTTTATTATGATCCCTTCAGACACATATTCAGCTAGCACCATCAGAGAGCCTTCAAAGTACTCTCAATGTCTGCTATTAACAAAAGGGAAACATTTAAAGTAATTAAGCCTTTAGTTCATATCATATGAAAGAGAACCTCCTAAATTCAATTTACATTACTTTTCCTCCATGGAGCCTAGAAAAAGCATAGTTGAAATGGCACAGCTGGATTCAGTTCTAACCAGGGTGGGATGATTTATCCACCCAGAAGCATACCACTTCATAATCCTGAGCTTGCAAAATGTCATTATGAGTCATGTGTGTGTATATGTGTCACTGAAAACACCAGCACACAGATGGGCTCTTTGGACTGCAGCCCACTGCTCCCTTCCACTGAACTTCCACAACTCCCTTGCACTAAATGGTGACACCTACTGAAGGTAGCACATGCTGAGGACTGTGTTTAGCAACCATGTGCACAATTCTGTAAACACAGAGAGAGGGAGCAGATCACTCAGCCACAGAAATCTGTAGGTTTAATGCTACTTTGATCTGAGCTAGGATTCCATTTACATCATATGGAATTTCTTTTTCCAGCTCTTGACGTCAGTTCAGAATGCTGAGACTATTACAAGCATGTATTTTAGAGCCTATTATTTTGATTATAAACCCCAGACATACTTTAGCAAGGAGAGCCACAGCATCCATCCCATGACATGAAGTGTGTACTGTGTTCCAAAATATTTCCTATTTCCTGAATATTGTAAGGTAAAGTTTAGACTCTGCTCTGAGGTACCAGAGGGATCTTGTTAGTCTAAATTCCCCCATGGTGGTGATACCTCTGCTCTGTCTATCTCAGAAGAAGAGGAACTGGCAGGAGATGTTCTTCAGCACAGAGACCCCAGAGCACATCCAACAGAAACTCAAGACACCATCTGATTATGCAGGAGGTCTGGTGTCTTTCCTCAATGTCTGAGCTAAAGAGGTCTATCTCAGAACACCCTCAGCACCAGATAATGGCCTTCAGGATACTGAGCAAGACATCCCACCTATAATCCAACAGTAAGGTACAGCTGAGATTTCAGGATGTTTATGATACTTGGGAACTGGATCCCCAGCACTTAGTTCTGGTTTCCAGCACCCTTTTCACCCTTTTCTGGTTTCCAACACCCAGGTGTTGATCATTCCCATATACCATTTTAAATATTGCTACAGTACAGAGTGTCAGTATCTTGGTCATGTCTTGAACATGGTGTCCCTAGAGAAAAGGCAACACTTTGTATGGGTTTTGTACTGGCCTAACTTCCAAGATATGCATTTAAAACCTTTCCTTCACCAAAGACTATTGGCTAAGCTGCTGCTCTTGGAGTGAGCGATGCATTAGAAGGAAACCAGATGGGCAAGAAAAACAGGAGATCAACTATTAGCTGGGATTTCCTATGGCACAGGGACATGTCACCTCTCATGTTCAGGAGGTGTTTTCTCCTAGGGCAGTTCAAATAGCACAGGCAGGCTATTCACAGCCTGACACAAGCTGTCACATGCTGCCATGTGACTCAAGGGGCTGCACAGAATCTCACCACCAAGAAATGTGTGATCTGGAGCTGCACTGAGGTGTGAGATAAATGCCTTGGCTGTAACCACTGTAGCATCATATTAACATCCACGCTATGCAGATTCCAAAACACAGGACCTTGTCTGTGAAGCAGTTCTGTCCTACTGTGAAAATATTTCCTATGAAATGCTCATGTGTCTGTGCTGGGATATCCATCCCAAAGCTCCCAGGCTCCTTGAAAGTATCTAAAGGGAATTGTGCCTCAGCAGCAGGATGAATGCTACATGCAGATCCAGTGGCCTGTCAAAGCCACAGAAAAGAGATGTTGCTCTTGATGTCAGTGTCATTTCTTATAAGGGAAATGCTCTCAAGTCCCAAAGGTAACAGACATGTCTCAGCTGAGGAACCTTGGTGCAGCAATAAAACAGAGGAAGTGGCTCTCTGTTGACTCTTTCCTTTGGTCTCTGCAGTGTGAGCTGGCAGTGTGAGCCATGGCAGTGCAGAGAAAAACACTGGAGTTAGGGCAGGCTTGGTCTTCCAGAAGTGGTCACAGGGATACAAGAACTTTGACTTTCAATGGCCCAGAAAAAGAAACAAAGAATTCAATGCAGCAGACTTTTCTTTGTATGTAACTAGGCCAAGCATCTCATAAAAGGACAGTGATGGATCTGTTGCTCTCTACCCTTCTTGGTCCCAAGTCATAGAGAAAATTTCTTTGGTACGTCCTCTCATCAAGGCAACAGAAAATATCTGGTGGGGTCTGAATCACACATATGACAGATACCTGGAATGCTATGGTACAGAGATAAGAGCTGCTGGGAGGAAAAGTAATAGAAGTGGGAATAGATGGAAATAAAGAGAGATAGAGAGTAATGAATGGAAACAGCTCGAGATGTACAATACCCTGTGCTGACATCAGGGAGGGAGAGTATTTTCTGTATGGAAACAAAAATACCCTGCATCTATGTACATCTAGAATGGTTCTGTCAATAAGTACACCTACACAGAGCAAAAGCATACACTGGTGTGCTATCTTTTGTTACTTGTTACATCTGCTAAAAAAGTATTGTGCACTTTTCAGAACAGGGTGCAATAAATTTGTTTCAATTGATGATATAATAAATATTTCAGTAATCTAAGATGGACCAAGATATGCATTTTTAGAATCACCTGAACTAAACGTTCTTCTTTTAAAGTTTTGCTTTCTACCTTTTTGGTTTTTTTGCACAACTGTAATGCTAAAAGGTGTTCTATTATTTTAGAGAAAGAGATTCAGTATGTTACAACCATGCACTGCATCGCAGAATTGAGCTATCTTATTCCTTATCAATTAAAAAAATAGAAACCAAAGAGGAAAAATTAAACTGTAATACATTTGACAAAGATGAATGAAGATAGCTTTATGTTGGAGGCCAAACTCCAATGAGCTGCTGCCTTCACCAATAAGCATTCTGCATGGTCATTCTATGAGGCCCGTGGTGGCAATTTATCTTCAGGGAAAGCTGTACCCTGCAGCCTGGCAGGCAGTGGAAGCAGCTGTGTTCATTTACTGCTAAAGATGCCTCACACTCAGGCTCTGCAGAACAGAGCTCTTTTCCCAGGCAGGGAATGCTCGTTGGAGGTTAGGTGAAAAGGCTTCTAGGCAGATAGAGAAATCCACATAGAAGTGGATTCAGCCCTTCACCAGAAAATTAATGAATAAAATTAAGAAAAACAGTAACACTGTGAGTTAAATATACCAAATGAATAAGCTTTTAATGATTCAATCTGGATAGAGTTAAATTCAAAAAATGTAAAATTGAGAAATAATTACAAGCTTTAGAATAAAGTGAACTGTGTAATGACCACTGCTTCCTGATAAATAGCAATGACTGATAACTGTAAACATGACAGAGCAGTAAAATAATAACCTTTAGGATGTGAAAGCTGTAAGGACATTTTTGACAGTTGTAATCACCAATTTTGATGAAGAAATACCCTCTCCATAGTAAATAGCTCTTGGTTGGAACCATTTATTTAATGCTAGTAGGGAATATAAAAAGTGAATTTTCCTTCAAGAATTGATTCTGCACGGTGAGTGTTGCAGCAGTTTTGTTTAAAATGTGCATCTCCATACTTTGTGTAGAACAGAGTAGAGCACTGCCTGGCATTTTGAACATAAGCAATAAATCCACACAATTTATTAGTTCTAATAAAATCAAAGGGTATAGAATTATTCAAAATTAAGTATTCTCTGTTGTAAGCCTAATTTGTACTTCTGCACAATCTCAAAAGTTGTCCTCTTTTCCTTAGACAAAGAAAACAAGAACCAGACATGACTTGTACTTTTCTGGATTATAAATCTTCTCCCCAAATTGTTGTAGCTTTTTGATTTCCATTTCAATCTATAACCATTAAAGGATTAAAAGTTACGAAGGCTTAAAATTTCTTTAAACTGCTTTCAAATTCTCAGTCACTGTGACACTAAATAATTTTCTAAAATCAGATTTAAAGAGGAAAAAAACCAAAAAGAACCACAGGCAGCAAGACCCACAGGAAACTGGCTGCATATACTGAGGAAACATTACAATTCAGATGTATTTTCTCACCAATTCACAACTTGTCTTAAAACCAAAGAACTGGAAATCTTAGTAAAAAGAAATCAAGCTAAATATGGTAGATACATTGAGACAGCAAGGTAGCTAAGCATGCTCCTAAGTCAAAAGCACATAAAACTTAAGCTCAGTGCACTGGAAATTCCTAAGTATTTTGCTAACTATGGGCCATGGCATGTGTGGTAAATATCAACTGCCATTAACACTTTTTGTGATCAAGAATCACTGTCAGCTGACACAGACACCAGCTTTCTCTCCTTTTACTGCTGGAATCACACCAACTTGTAGCTGAGCTTGTAATTAAAACCAAACAGGGTGCAGATCTTTTCTTAAAAATATCTGCATCATCTCTGTCCATGAGAACTATTCTGCCACCCTAACTTGTCTCACACCACTGGCAAATTTACTAAACAAACTCCTTTTCCCCCCCTCTCATCTATAATTTGAAAACAACAAAGCTGAGTCAAAGAAAGATACAAATCTGCTAACTTCTGCAAGCTATTTTTGGAAGGTTGGAGAAGGAAACTGAAAACTATGTGATGTTGCATTCAGCTTATGTGCAATGTTTGTTTGAAGTCATATTCAGGAGCCTGGGAAGACATGCTAGAGGTTCTTATTCAAACACAGGATTAGATGGGAAGGTTGTTAAGTTTTTGGCTAAGTGGGGAAAATGGAGGGAAGGAATTATTTGTGAGAAATAGCCTTAAGTAAAATCTTATGAAACAAATCCCAGATTTTCACCACTATTTTACACATTATTCTTTGGAACTCTAGAGATGACAGACAATTCACTCAAAAACTGGAAGTCCATCTCACATGGGGGAGAGCAGAGGGCACTTGCTGCATATCTGGGCAAACATCTTTGAACCTCACAGATCCATCAACCAGACCAGTGGTGGCCAGAGCCTTTTCAGGATTTTTGTTTCGCTGTTTCCTCCAGTTGGTAACATCTTTTAAAGGACCACGATGACTGAGTGAGTCCCAATACCAGCCTGTGTCAAGCATGCTGGTGGCTGGCTGTGGGGCCAGTCCTCATGGCCCTTGAGCTGTGCCATGGGGTGGGAGGCAGGGCTCAGCAAGTTCACCCACTATTGTGAGACTGAAGGGCAGAATTGTGCAAAGGTAACATTCCAACTGATTATTTCATTTTCATTTTTTCAGTTCTCATGTCCTTCAGGGAATGGGAGTAGGAAAAACTGAGAGGTAATCTTGTTGATGTGCTGTATAAGTATCTGCAGGTAGGAGTCAGAGCATGGGCTGGGCTGTGCTCCACAGTGCCCAGTGACAGGACAAGAGGCAATATGCAGAAACTGATGCCCAGGAAGTTCCTCCTGAACATGAGGAAGAACTTCTTTTCCAAAAGGACAACAGAACACTGAGCAGATTGCCCAGAGAGGCTGTGGAATCTCCTTCTCTGGAGAGATTCGAGAGCCATCTCAACACAATCCTCAGTAACGTGCTCTGGCAGAGAAGCCAACAGAAAATATTTCACTCGAAAACTGAACTGTAAATCAACATATGCTGTCTTACCTTCCAAATGTTCTGTTGTAACCAGTCCTAGTGCTACCATGAAGGCAATTTTCTAAGGAAAAAATAAATGGGTAAGATTTTCTACGATAATAATCATGGTAAGAAAATAAATAAAATTAGCATTGACAGAATAAACCCAGTAAAAATCTCTTAGAAATGTATCTTATTTGAATGCATAGTAATGTAAAGAACTTTAACTGAAGATTTGCTTGAGATATGCCTGGTTCTCTTAGTATGACTATATAAACTCTGAAATTCAAAGATGGCTGAAGTCAATGCTAAATGACTACTAATCTTACACAACACATAACCAATATTCAGTCAATTCAATAAGTTCAATTTCACATTACTAGCTGGATTCTTCACTCCATCCTTTAGTGAAGTAATTTTGTATTATTTTGACAATCTGGACATGGCACACTGCTTTTATTGGATATGAGCAAGCCGTATGAAGTGAAACATGTATGAACTGTACAACACTAAACAAGACATCAGAAGCATATTGAAAGTCCCCTCCCATAAAAAAAATCAGAAATTTCTCTTCCCAAGATATAAAAATAATATTGTGTGCATGGATTGTGAAGACATATACTGATTCAATATTTTTCCTCAATGAGGAGTGAACAAAAATCTCCCACTGATACTGATGAACTCATTCTGCAGTGAGGAATCTGATCTAAAATATTACTCACAACTCTTCTAAACTATACATGCATAAAACATATTTTCATACTAAAAAGTCTTCAGAACATGCTGATGCAATGATAGGACAAGCATTAGAGCAGATTTAAAATTTTCTGACAGTGATTTCGCACTGGAAAATTTTTCCTTGCAGAAAGGTTTTGCTAAAGTTTTTATTGCATGTTTTTGATGAAAACTAAAATTACACTGTGTTGTTCCAAGCCCAAACTGAACTGAATGCCTTGGATTTCAGTCACATTTGTGGTACTTGTGGGGCTTTGGGGGTGTCCTCTTTCTGCAGTGCTGAACAATCTCCTTGGATCAGATTACCCAAGGGGCATTTTCATGAGGTTCAATTCCACAGGACAGACAATCTGACTATGAAACTCAAACTCTTGGGAAATACAAGCAAGCAAAGCCCACAATCCAAGCCTGAGGAAGTGTACAAAGACCATAGGAAGATGCAATTATCATACCTTAAATAAAATGTTTTTATTCAAATCCAACTAAAACATAGCGTTTGAGCAGTAGAAGGTCAAAACATTCTGTTTCATTCAAAGAGTGTCAGGAGAACACATTTCAACACTTCCAAGTCAAAATTAGTCTGACCTTCTTGTTTTGTGAAAAGCCTGATGATTCAACATTTCCTTTCAGTTCAGGATAAAATCAACTTCTAAGTCACCAGAACTACAATTTCCTTTGCAATTCTGACTTTTACTTAGTGAAACTGTGAAAGTAAAAACATCCTCATTTTGTAGATGAAAAGATCTAACTATTGGGTGGGTTCATCAAAATCAGAGGGTTAGGGTTGGACACCTCTACCACTCATGCATCTGTGAAAATACCTTTGTCAAGCAGGTGAACTAATACCCATGTAAGACAGGAATATTTCCTTCCCACAACCTCGGGAGATTCCTACTCTCCAGGTAGATTAAAAAATGGTGGTGTAGAATTTCCTCACTGGCAATTGAAATATATATTCACACTGTATTTCTGCCTTCCATATCTGTGGTAATTACACACGTGTTCATTTGCATGTCAGACCTTGATTTCAGCAATGTTCACTCCTCACATGCCTGAAACACCAACCAGGCACAGTGGGGACCCCACACCTGAAGGAAAAGATGAATATTTGATCCACTGTGCAGATCTGAGAAGAAAATTAGTCAGCTGAGTAGGATTGACCTCAGCCCCATCAAAAAGTAAAGGTGGCAGGATACTTCTCATCACTGTGATCAAAACTAATAACAATATTTAGGGAGAGAACCAGAAAGCTGGAACGGTTAATGTCTGTTTTCTCAATGGAGTGCAGAATTCCTGCATTACCCCATCATTAAACTGTAAGGAAAGCACATATTTTCTGGTGCCTCAAATGAAATTATTTGTGTACTGGAATGTTTGCTAAACAATTTTCTCTCTTCATGCTGAAAGTGTTTGAATACGTATCTAACTAAATGTAATGACAACATACCTGCTTAAAATATGAAGAGCCATCACAAATGGACTTGATAATTATCACATGATTAAACACAAGAAGTGTTAGCTTTTATAGGGACTTGAAAGATGATTCCTTTTAAAAAATCCCAGTACAAGCTGTATTCTTCTGAACAAGCATATTATATTAATAGCTTATTTATTTTTATGGGTTTTGCTGTTTCACACCTCTGTAGATCATTGGATTCAACTCAAAATCTGACTTCCACTGCAAAACTTTCCTTTCAAATATCACAGGGTCTATTTTTTATCCTCTGTACAGAAGCTGCAAAACCAAGACTTCATTTTCTCCAGATTTTCAACCCAGGCTTAATATTTAATTCACAATTGCCATGTGTCTCTCTTGTGCTTAGGAAGGATTAGAATGCCATTGACTAAATAACCAGCATTTATGGAAGTAATTTTTCCTTTAGATAAAAACATTTTAGAATAAAAATGTTGCCAGATTGTTTGCTATTATCAATGTTTAAATGATCAAAACGTTTTTGGCAGAATTCTGTTTCTTTCTGTGTTGAACTTAGGTCTCTTTAAGAAAAAAATAAAATATTAACCCGTCCCCCTCACCCTCCTTCAAACAAACTCCCCACAAACAAATGAACAAAAAACCCCAAAAAGCAATGTCCAGGGCATTTTCTCCCCAGAGGAGCAGCTCCCTTTTGTAATTCCTCCATTTCTTTACAGAAGCCATCCTGGTGGGAGAAGGCCCATCACTGGATCCATCATCATTGTTTTCCATCCCCAGCTGAGCAGAATGACCAAGCCAGGAGCTAAAGACAGTAATTATCCTCACTCTTCTCTGTTTGTTCAGGTACACTCAGTAACTGCATGTGGGGATCTTTGTTACTGGTAAATCTGGTTATTTCTAGTTAGCTTGTTCCAAATTGTCAGTGTCATTTGTTAAATCCCAGTCTCTCCCAGCTAAGTTCTACAGAGCCGTATTGGAGTTCCTGCCTCAGTTTTGTGCTTTGAAGATAAATAAAAGTGGGAAGTGCTTTGAGTGCCTATTTTCTTTTTAAAAATACCATGTTGTTTTTGCTTTAAATTTAATCATCTGCTTACAAGCCATGAGTGCTTATAGAAATACACAGTATGTCTCTCATGAAGCAAAACAAAGATTTTCATAAAAGCATTTAGTTTTGTAATTACATGTTCTATTTATGTCATTACATGTATTTATACTAATTATGATGTTAGTTCTAATTACACTAATTGCATAAATACATGATAATCAACTAAAGTTTACTTTCAAAGAACAAAAGAAATTAACTCTAGCCCTACCTATTAATGGCTGTGCAACAAATCTGTGAAAAGAACAGTCATACTGAAGGGCACAGTGTCAGCACTCTACCCAGAAAATGAAGGCTTTTGGGACCTCCACTATACAGGGTAGGAACAGTGTCTATGGTTAGAAAAAGGCCATTGAGATATCCTAGTTAGCAATGTAATGAAAATCTTACATTTTTGAATCCCATACTAAAAGTGTGCCTAGTCCAATTGCCTCCTCCTGCATCTCTCTGGAAGATTTTATTCAATATTTTTTTCCATGAGGATAAGTTACAGGCAAAGAAAAGCTGATATCTTCTCCTAGCATTCTGTTTCTGAGAAGGGCCTACTACCCTTTCTATCCATAAGGTGCTACAAAATAAGTAAGTGAGGTTCAAGATTTCACAGGAGCTGAACATTTCCACAAAAGAAGTAGATTCAGTCTATATAATTTCTCAAACTGCCCTAAAATTACACCCAATATACTGTGAGGGTATCCAGTCAAAACCCAAAATGTCTGCTAGAGCAGCCCCATTTCTACAAGGACTTGGAGTTTATATTTCTAGTTTAAATCAAAAGTATAATTCACAAAAGAGATTTAGTCTCATAACTTGCTTTCTACTCTCTTAGTCAATTCAAAGGATTTAAATGTATTTCAGACTAGAATCTGTGTACGTGGGAAGACATGTACACAGCAAATGCAGGAAACTACATAATACAACCTAAAAATTGCAAGATTCATTACAAAGAAGATGTTAAAAGCTCAGCTTACAAAAGAAATGTTAATTCCACCTCATACACAGCCTCTAAATCTGATGCTACACGTTTGATACCATAAAAGAAAATATCTTAAGCTTGTATAAACCTTTCACAAGAAATCCAGCTGCAGCCATGGGGTCCCTAGATTATTCTGAGACCTCTAGGTCTTATGAGACCTTCAAGTCTAACATTTTGTGACAGTGGAAGGTTTGAATGGTGTAAACCAAATTTGTCAGGGCACTCACTGGCAGGGAAATTACCCTGATTGCAGAGATTGAGAGGAGAGATGAACAGCTGGAAGAATCATAAGCACAAATAAAGTAATCACATATGCACACAGAAGAATGTTTAGATTTGGCCCCCATAAGTTAACCATATTGTAGCTCATTTATTAAAAATAAAAAATTTTAAAAAATCACCTCTGGATTTTCCTCCTTTTTCTTTTTGGTAGCAGGCAGTCCCTGAGCTGACTCTTCAGGAGGTTTCTTTGTCTCCACTTTACTTTCTGTCTGGGTTTGGACTTGAGGTTGAATAATGATAACCTAAAAGACAATGTACAGATAAGAGAATTCACTATATGAAATTGGATTTTTCTGCCTGAAACCTTTGAGTCCTCTTTGAACGGTTACTTGATACCCAACAAATAAGAAATGTAAGTCACAAGTCAAAAGCATAAAACAACAGGACACCTAGGTTAAGGTCCTAAATCCATACTTAAGTTTCTAAAAGTTCTTATTGGTGCATTATAAATCTGCTGTAGCCTAAGTCCTTGATCAGTGCTTCTGAAAATAAGGACACTTTCTATTTAGAGGACTTGTGAAGGTGGCTGAGAAGCCATGCTTTGTGGAGTTAGTGATTTTAAGGTCTTTCCTTTGATTTTATTTCGTGTACAGGTAGAAGAGATGGGATTAGTAAACTTTCAAACCCAGTTTGATCTCACTCACACCTGTGTTATTTCAGAGTAAGTCCATAGGGATGGGAAAGAAGGTACTCCTCATGCAACTGAGATCACACTTCAGCCCTCAGCCTTTACATGTTATAAGCAGTGGATGTCCAGTTTTCAGTAAACTAAATCAACTATATGTGTTTTAAATTAAAATTAGGTCTTGTTTAGAACCTATAAGAATTAGGACACAGATCTCTTTCACACATTTATGGTAGTATATCCAGCTGCCCCTATTTGAATTACTACATGAAGATTTACATGATGTAGGTCATATTATCTAGAGGCTATTAAATCAAAATGAATTAATTTCTTCCCACAGAACTACACATATGACTTCATACCTATAATCAAAAGGACTGTGGAAGCTTCAAAAGGACTTCCCAAGGACTATCACCTTCTACATAAAGATTATTAGATTTGAACACTAGGCCTTTTCCATCTACTTCATTGCTAATTTTCAATCAATGTCATTTAAGTGATAGATACATTATCTCAACTCAAGTCATTCAAGAAGATTCAAGAGCATAAAAAGGGATGGCTTTCCAAGCCAACAGCCATTTTAAGCAAGAGAAAAATAATTTATGTCAAAGAAATGGGAAAGAGATGTCTGCTTTTATTTGCCTCAAAAGCCATCCTACATCCTATATATTTTTTTAGCACTATATGAGAACCTGTGCTGCCAACAAGACCAAAAGTAGCAGAATCCCAGCAGTAAATTAAAGTGAATGACTGCTGGGTACATTAGCAGCCTGTATGGAATTTGTCTCTGGTATAAGAGTGGTGAAGTTCTTGCAGTCCAATGCTGAAAGGCAGTACAAAGATGAAACGAGTAATTCATAGCTTGAATTTTTTCTTTCTACTGACTCATCTCCTGGTCAGTTCTGAAACCCTGAGCTCTCATTTCATTTGGTCTTCCCCTGGAAGAGCAAAAGGGAATCTCTGATTATTTTATGTGCTCCCTGGGGTCAGTCAACAAATCTAGTATCACTGCTTCATTGAAGAGGGAGTCCCTAGGAAATCTGAGCCTGTACAGAATTCAGGGATTTTATTAGTGAGGCTTAAGGAAAGAGAAGTTCATATTGTCCCATTAATGTCAGTCTATATAATTACGTGTTTTGTTCCCAGTAAAAAACAGGACTGTACACAGATAAAAGTCTACTAGCCTCTATGTGTCCCTTTTTTTTGGGACAATTGGAAGAATTTTCCCATTGCTTTCTGATCATTTTGAGAACTGATACCTTGGGGTTTAGTTTTTATATTTTTTAGATTCTCTGGTGCCTGGTATGTAACTCTGGAACTTCATATCAGGTGTTGGTAAGTTCTCTTCCCAGGGTAGTCAGACACAACAATCCCTTCCCAACTAGAGAGTGAAGGACACCCAGTAACCAAAAAGCAGAAACAATGGTGAGGGAAAGGGGGCAAGCCAGGGGGCTGAGACTTCATAACCTGGGACTGTGGTTGGACAATTAACCTCAATATGTAGATGAACCAAAACTTATAAAAGTGTAAAAACTTGTGACCGGGATCCATCTTGGATTTGATTTGGGTGTGGCCCCAGCCAGGCTCTTACACTGCCCAAAGTGTATCCTTTCAGTAAATACCTATTTTATTCCTTTTGCTCTGTTCCAGGTCAGCCCATCAGTTCTGGCACCCCAGATGAGACCTCAAGGCATCTGTAAAATCCCTGGACTGGAGGAACACCCAGCTCCTGCCCCCTGAAGAGGGCCCAGCTGCAGTCCAGAAGGTATCAGAGCCCAAGAACCCCCAGGACTGGTACAAAGACACGTGAATAATTGGATAAAAATGTTGGTTTTTTTAAAGGCGCCATCAGAACTATTGAGAGCACTGCACAGGGTGTGCACTCCCAGGGTCCCTGCAGTTTGCTGCCCACAGGCCTCACCTTGCTGTCGGTGCTGATGAGAAGCGGCTGCACTTTGATGCTGTCGTTGACCACGGAGACGGCGGCGCTGGTGCTGATGGGGCCTGCATTGCTGGGCGAGGTGGAAATGATGGCGTAGGCCACGCCGGCACCGCTCAGAGGGGACGAGAGAGCCGCGGGCTCGGGGACACACTGCGACTGGCTGCCGTGCGTCTGGACATGGCTGACGGTGTTGTTGGCGGTGGGGAGGGCAGGGCTGGGGTTTTTGATGCTCACTATGGTTGCCTTCTGGAAGGTGGGAGGCTGCTTGGAAGGTTGGTCTCTGCACGGGGAGATTGGGAGGCTGTCTGGAATCAGGGTCTTTGGCCTAACCTAAAAAAGAGAGTCAGGCACATGAACAGACACTGCACACATGCCTTCTCCCAGTAGAATCTCTAATTGCATTAACCCTGGACCAAGAGCATCTAGAACAACAGAATGTAGCAACTGCAAGAAGCCAACCATTGATTTACTTGTAGATACATTGCCAGCACTTCTCAACTGGGTAATTTTGAAGTTCTTAACTCACTGCAATGCTAAGCAATAAGTGAGAAGAAAGTCAAATCCTTATTTTGACTAGCACACATCAATACCAATGCTGGTCAAGTCCCATCCAGTTCTCAGTATGGATATGTAAGCCAAAGCCTTTGCAGAGAATGGAAAACTCAGGTGCAAAAATTTCCATTTCTGAAGGACACAACAGTTTTGCTATGAATTAAGGAGAAGGAGCTGAATCATCAAGGGCGTTGTGGGAAAGCATTTACAGGGACAGTTAAGTATATGGTTTTATACTGGTGGATTGGTCAATGAACATCCTCACATGTTTGAGACATGCCATGTCGAATGGAGAGATCAGTCACAAAATCACCTAGCTCACAACAAAAAATAAAATAAAGAGAGGGATACAAGAAACCCACAACCACCAAACATCATATTTTGTTGCAGTAATTAAAGAGCTAATTTGCAGCAGTGGGAGGATGCAGGAGGAACTTCCATGAATGGAAGAGGACACTTTGCCCAGCTTTGCAACAGCTGGGACTGTACCCAGAGCCATGAATGATAGCTGCAATCAATTGTTTTCAGCTAATGTGATGTGTTTCCAGTGGTGTAATTAACGTCACCCTGTCAACATGGCTCTGCCTTAACAACATTTTAAGTACAGTTCCAGGATTGAAAATAAATAATTTAAACTGCTTCACATGGAGTTAACTTCACTCCCAGCTCATTCGTTAACACAGCCAGATAAAACAGTCAGTTCCCTGTGCTTATTTAGCCCTGTCACTTCTCGTACCATCCACACTGTGAAACAAAATGACAAGCTCTAACAGACAAACATGGGAAACAGCTGCCTGTGTCACCATGCTGGAGTCTACATGAGCCCTTCAAATGGTGCCGACTTCAATCTTGAGCCTAAGTAAGCAATTTAATGAAAATGCAGCGATTTACTGGTGTGCAGAAAACCATCTCTCACAGCTGGCCATCATCCCCTATGGTGTCAAGAAGGAACCATACCCTTTTGTCCCCACTGCAAATATTAAGTGCAGCAAAACGTGCTGTGAGCTCTTTGTGTCTTGGTAACTTGTCCCTCACATGTCAATAGGACCCAACACCCATGAGCAGTGCAGAACTGGTATCAGAGGCACACAACTGCTAGGGACATTCACACGTCCAGCAGTCATGGCAGACGGAAAGGTAAAGAGGAGGTTTGCCCAAGGTCCTGCAGACTTGTGCAGAGCCAGGAAGCCACTGTGTTCAGCTCACAACTTCAGGGTAACACTGGAAAGCCTCAGAGACCTGCTGGGAAATGATGTAAAACTACACAGAGCTCCAACGAACCATAGTCAAAATACCCTCACAGTACCTGAAGGGTTCTTTGCTCGTTTTCTTTATGCAATCACTTTGTGTAACAATTATCTGACTGGCTTAGTTAAGATACTAGACAAATACCTGGGTCAAGTAGTTTAAGGGAGGACTCTGCTATTAGCTTCATATGCATAATTAGTTAATGGTCTTATTTTCAAAAGTAGTGCACAAAGCATTGGTTTAAACCCATCAGTTCAGGAGTTCTTCCAGCCAAAAACTGTCACGTAGTCGTGTAGTCATGCACTGTATCCGTCACTCTTAATTGCACTTTTATATTTAATCAAAAGCCTGATTAAAACTAAATGCCGACATACATTCTAGCTATATAATTATCTTTTCTACTGCATGATGTAATACCTCAGTGAATCCTACACACCCATAATACACATCCTGCAAGTTGTGGATGAACACACGTTACCTCACTGTTAAATAAGCTCTTCCTGCACAGATAATTAAACAAACTTAATTTTCCAAAATATGAAACCCTTTATAAAGTGCTGCATACTGAAATTATCTGATAGGACTTACCAAACTGGTACAGCACAGAGCATATGCTGGGCACTTTCTGCCACCGTGTGATACAGAAGAGGAATAGCTGTTTTCATGGGCTAAGCCTCTGCAGACTCCCTGCCAAGTTTACCTAACCCTGGGAGACCATATTTATTTGCAATTACAGAACAATAAAAATGGGTGACTACAGAAACAAAAGTTTCAGGTGCTCCTGAGTTAAAAGTTACAATAATATAATATGAAAATTATATTTATTTCTAGGGCTTGCAAGTGTGAATCCAAAACAGAAAGCAAACGTAGAAGCCCCTTGTGCTCCAGCACCTATGGAAGTTCCCCTCAGAATAAAAACACTAAGCTTAAATATTTAATAAACAGCAACATGAAAGACCTTTGGAAGAGTGTCACCTAAAACCACAAACTGCTACAGTTATTTGTGAAGATAAATGGTATCGGCTAGAAAGAGAAAAAAATAAGAAAAAGGGTAGCATAAATTCCATTCCCTCATGGCAAAACTGTAGCTTAAATTTGGGAGATGAAAGGAGGACAATGGCACTAGCAAAAGTTTGGAAGGTGGAAATCACTGAAGAAGAGGTAGAATAAAACTAGAGCAGGACAGGGACTACACTGCACACACACAGTATCAAAAAGTAATTTTCTACTGAACGAAGCACAGGTTGGATGACACCAGTCCCTGTCACAAGAGTTACAGAAATAAAAGGCCCCAAAGTTGAGCAAAAGAAAAGAAGGGAAAGAAAAAGAGACAGCACGTACATTACCAAAAGAACGCTTCAACTCTTGGCAAGTGTTGCAAGTAACAATTCCCCTGCAGCTCAACCCTTCTTTCCCCAAGTATCTTCCATTTAACTTCTGACAGCTGTCAAAACAGAATGTGATACTACCAGGGCTCAAATGCAGAAGAGAGAGTTGCTTCTTGAATGTAATGATTTCCTAAACCTGTGTTGTTCTTGAGTTTCCTCAATACACACAATAACAGATACATTTCATTTCTTGTGGCAATGTTCACACTGGCACTTCTCAGGTAGCTGCAGGTGAGCACATTTTTCAAGGAGATATTCTCAAATCTGAACATTCACTAGGTGGGGGCTGTCTGCTTTTCAGACATGGAAATAAGAGAGGGCCCAATCCTGTGAGACCTAGAGAGCATTCTTTTGTTCAACAACCTCTAATTGAATATATTTTAAAGAGTTTCAGATCAGGAAAGAATCAGGTCCTGAGACTAACATGACTTCTTGTATATCCCATATTATTAAGCTCCATACAGGTGTCCCTATATGAAACTCAAAGGCTTCCATTTCACCAAAACATCATTCAAGCTCTCGAGAGCACAAATTGCTGAATACTGCAGAGGTGAATGAATTGCTGAGTGGTGGAGGTGGGAGAGCCTGATGTGTGTCACTGCTGACAAAGGAAAATGTGATCATGAGCAATCTATTTCCTGAGGTACACCCCGACAGGTGAGCCACTCACCTCCTGTAGTAAAGAAAAATAAGGTAAGAAAGAAAACCTCTTACTAAAGAAGTCCTCAAGATCCAACCCAAACAAGTGTAGGGAAAACAGAGAAGGGAAGAAAGTCACACAGTTCCTCCAATCTCTGTGGGCAATCCTATGTAGTCCTAAAGGATGGGATTTAATTAGAACAGTTACGTCTGTGAGGATCTGCAGGTGTTATGAGAATTGTTAGGGCATTTATGGTAAATGTGTTCTTCAGGCCTAGGAAAGAAGGGAAGTTAATGCAGTGTACTTCAATTAGAACCCCAAAAGGGATCACTGTGATCCTCCAGCTCACAGGCTGGCCATGTAATTTCTCCCAGAAATTGAAGACTTATTTTAAAAGGAAAATACTAAAGTCTTCTTAATGGTGAGCTCCAGTAAATTGTTAAAATGTTTTCTTCATGCTCATGACTGGCATTTTATTGCAAGATTGAATTTGCCTAACTTCAGCTTCCAGTCCCTGGATCTTGTTATAGCTTAGTCAGCAACAGTGAAGAGCCCTGCCCTTCCCCTGTATCAGATATCAGCTGGATCATGCTCAGCATCTATCAGCCCTTCATACTAGCAGGGCTGATCTGTATGAAAGTAAGTTTTTCTGCTCAACGCCATATCACATTGCCTTTGAGAGAAAGACCATTATTCACACTTTATTTTCACTTCACCCTCGTACTCAGAGCTTAAAAACAAAAACTCAAAATGCATTTGGCACAATTCATATGTCACAGAGGCAAAGTGCTGGGAGCAGCAGCCAGAGCTTTCATTCTTGAAAACTTTTAGAGGATTACACAGAAAGCATTAGCAATGGCTGATAAAATGAATGCAATATGGGGTAATCACATCCTGCATCAGAATGAACAGATGCACACTGACTTCAGTAAAGCTGTGTCTATTTATGCCAGCTGAGGACCAACTCCTTCCCTCTTCTTTTTTGATCAGTAAAAATTAGGCAAAAAAAAAAAATTCTGCTTAATTTTACAGCAATGACACTCCCTAAAATTCAGGTTGCCCCACTCACTCAAATACAAGTATTTGCATCTTGGTTCATTTTTAGTTCCTTTCCCAATAAGCTCCTATTATCTTCAGCCTGGTCTAAGACCACTGTCAAAATAAAGAGTTTATCTTTCTCCCACAGGGAAGATTTCTTTCTTCCCTTTCCTCTTGATGGGGCTACACAAAAAAGAAATTACGCTTCATCGTAGAAAACCTGGGCAAGATGACCCAGAATCAGTGAATCCCATGTTCACATACAACGTAACCCTCTCTTTAGTATATCCTTGGAATATTAGCCTGTGAACCTACAAGACAGTGTGAAATGTAGGGCAAAACCCAAGGAGTTGCTCCAGCCCACATTTTCAATCCTGCTACTTGGGATGGAGTAGACCAGAGAAAAAACCCTTAATCTGATCCAAACCAATAGCAAAACTGTGCAGACTTCAGCAAGGCCAGAA